ACAAATACAAATAATGAGAAAAAAAAATCGACACCAAGGTGTCGAAAAACTATGCTACAAATCGACACTTAAGCGTCGAATTTCATAGGTAAAAATCGACATTGACATGTCGAATTTGTAGCACAAATTCAAATGTCGAATTTTATACCTCAAAATCGACATCTAAATGTCGAATTTTATACCTCAAAATCGACATCTAAATGTCGATTTTTACCTGTAAAATTCGACCTGTACATGTCGAATTCGTTTGCGCGGGATTTTTTTTGGAAAATCGATATTCTAGCTAAAAAAACCCATAAATGCATATATTCTTGGGTTCTTCCATCGTAGAATCTTCTATTTTGATGTCTTCTAACTCCATACTTGCCATCTTTGTAAGATTTGTTGAGTTTTGATGATTTTGAATTTCTAGGTTTTGTGGGTTAATGGAGGAGGAAGGAGAAAGGTCTTGTGAGTTTTGGAAGATGGAGAAGATGATAGTTGGTCTTGTGGTTTTGTGGTCTTGTGATAGGGTTTTTTGTGTTTTTGAATTTTTGGTCTTGCATATTTGGAATTTTTATTTTTTTAATAAATAAGGGTATTATAGTATTTATACATTGAAAATTTTAATTTGGTCTTGCACAAGTGGAATTAGTCTTGCATATAGCCGCAGCCTAAATGGTGATATGTCCAGCCCTTAAATCTTTCTTTGTGATAAACTCTTAGAAATTTTATTCCCAATACTACCCTTATATCAATTAGCACATTTTTTTCCTATTATTCATTTTTTTGTTTTTTTTCCTAATTCCTAAAAATCTGCAACCAAATAAAAAAAATTAATTTTTATTTATTATTTCGGATATAAGCATTTTTTATTTATTTATTTATTTATTTATTTATTTTTTTTAATATTTTTTAATAAAAATATTTTTTTTAAAACAAAAAATTGAATTTTTTTTCTCAACAGATTTATTAGGCCGAATGTGACTATATGTGACTATTTCAATTGTAGTCATATTCTTTTTTTATATTGCAGTTTTTTACATTTTTAACTTAAAAAATCCGATTATATTGTGTGGTACAATCCAATCAACATCCACAAAAAAAATCACAATTCAATCTTGTTATTTTAAGTCAACTTGAAACGATAAGATAAAACATATTCGAATATGACTACTGCCATATTCAACAATAGTCATATTCGAATATGACTATAGTCATGTTATAGTCATGTTATAGTCATGTTACTGCTGTTCTATCTGGAAAAAAAAAAACGACAACGAAGATTGTCTATTATTTACGAAAACAATCCAATCAACATCCACACAAAAAATCATAATTTGAATCTTGTTATTACAAGTCAACATGAAACGATAAAATGGAACATATTCGAATATGACTACAGTCATATTCAACAATAGTCATATTCGAATATAACTATAGTCATATTACTACCGTTGTTCAAATCTAAAACTGTAATACAGAGATCTGAAAAAGAAAAAAAAATTCAAAAAATACAGAAATAAAACACATGCACAAAACAATATTTCACACACACATATATAGAACACACACACACACATACATATATTTCACACACACATATACAAAACACACACACGCATATACAGAACACACACACATATACAGAACACACACACACGCATATACAGAACACACACACACACGCATATACAAAACACACACACACACACACATACATTTCACACATATACACACAGACCCACATACAAAGTCGCAAGAGATCCAAAAATCTAAAAATCACAAGAGACAGATCTCAAGAAAAAAAAAACATAACAGAGAAAGAGAGAGACAATATTTCACACACACATACAAAACACACACACACACAGACCTACATATCCATACAACATGAGTTTTTTGGAAGGTTTGACGGCGGAACCCTAGGCGGCGGCTGTGATCGGCGGTTAGGTAAGTGGATAATGGCGGTGGTGTGAAACGGAGAAGGAGGGCGGCGACGCCGGTGTAAATCTCGATGGAGAACGGCGGCACCGGTGTAAATCTCGATGAATAGCGGCGGCGGTAATACAGATCTGCAAAGAAAAAAAAAAGAACAGAGAGAGTGAACGTGAGAGAAAGAGTGTGAACGTGTGAGGAATAAAATTAAAACCCTAACACATAGGGGCATTTTAGTCTTATCATATCTGATAAGGGGGGTCTCACTAATTTAGATTAGAATTTGGGTTATGGGAAAAGTCTTTAAAGTCAATTGAGTTTAATTCAAAATATTTTTCAAATGAGGGGGGTATTGCATATTTCCCCTTGTTGTTTTGTTTTTCGTCTGTCCCAAGGCAAAATTCCATGATTTGGTCCAATTATCATTAATAAAGGGGGATCAACGTCGTTGACTGCGGCGTTGACTGGTTATGTATGGATTAAAGAAAATGGAGCATAACATTATTGGAAAATAGCGAAAAAGTTCGAAAATAATAAGCAATTTAAAATACTCATTTATTTCCTCGATAGTTGTTTAGTTGCACACATATTAAGAAACTCAATAAATATACATAGATAGTAGAAAAAATATAATAAATTACTAAAATGCCCATATCCTTAATTAATTTTTAAATAATTATATTTCAATTAATTATGAGTGAGGAAGGGCAAAATTGAAAGATTGCAATTAATTATTTATTGGAATGTAAAGTGACAAATAATTTGAAATATAAAAAAATGGCAAAAGTAATACTCCCTCCGTCCCAATTTAAGTGACGTTTTTGGTTGTTGCACACGTATTAAGAAAATCAATAAATGTGCATATATTATAGTGAAAAGCATAGGAAAATATTAATATATCCCTGACATTAATTATTTTACACTAACTAATTATTAAGAGTGATAAAGGGTAAAATTGAAAATAGTGCAATTAATGATACATTGAAAATCTAAAATGACAAATAATTTGGGACAAAAAAAACTCTCTAAAAAGACATATAATATGGGACAGAGGGAGTAAATATTAAGGGAATGAGGGAGTAGCTTATAAGATATTTTAGAGATTATAAGCACTTTTAAAGTATTTGGTATTATTTTCTATAAAATTTTAAAAATTCATAAAATAAGTTGCTAGCTTATTATCCATATATTTCGAAAATTAATTATGAAATATGTCGTTGTAGCTTATTAGATTAAGCGCTTATGAACTGTTTAGAATAAGCTTACCCGAACAGGCTCTAAAATTATGATTATAAAATTGGATTATTGATATTTATTTTTTGTTTTTTGATCGACAGTGCAAGGACACTGTCGAGGAGCATACTAATGCGTATAAATGCAGTCGGAATTCGTTATTTTGTTCTTAATAACACACGAGTTCGATGGTTTTTTTTTTTTTTCCTGAGTTATGATTTGATTATGTGTTATATGTAGGTGGAGTTAATTGTATTTGTTATATCTCGAGCTCGATGGAAAAAGTCACCGGAAAATTCAAACCCAAACAAAATTCAAGTGGTAATGAATGAATGGATGAAAATAGAATAGTATTAAAATGTTGAAGGTTTTATCTATCCTTCACCCGGCGTAGGATCTCAAAAGCCAATGTTGAATGATTGATCCATAAGACTTTTATTTGCATTGAAATGATCAAAAAGCGCCCACACCGCATTTGTCGGGACATGTTTATTCTTTGTACAAATCATTCTTTCCAAGTACAATTAGTTTTTATGTAACGTAGTTGTCTTTCATGTTTACATTTATTATTTACATGCTATGAAAAATCATTGTTAAAATTTATAATCTGGCAAAAAAATATAATTTTAGCACGTCGCATTTGACTGTATTAACTAGTGGTTTTAGAAAAATATGACAAATAATGTTTGGACGTAAAAAATAAAATGTATGAATTTTGGAGAGCTAGAGTTACGCGAAGTATTTTAAATAGAGAACTTTTTGGGCTGAAAATAAAATTACAAAATTTCAGAAAATTAAAAAGAATTCAAAAATATTAACCAGGAAAAAAGAAATTCATAAGGGTGAAATTTTTAGGCCGGGACAAAATGGCAGAAATTTTAAAGTAAATTATTAATAATTTTCAGAATATAATTTTTTTTCATAAATATGAGTGAAATCTTTAAGTTCTAGAGAAAAAAAAAAAGGAGTAGATTGAGTTAAAAAAAAAAAAAAAGGAAGAAAGAGGCACATCTTTTACACACAATGAAAGGGTATTTCCAAGTAAAAACAACTCAAATAGCTAGTAGGGTATGTAATAAAAAGTTTGAAACGTCTTAATCTACGAATTGAATTTTCTCCAAATGTATGAAAGAAGAAAAAATTTCCAAAGCTCTTGTTTGTAGTGATAATACCAAAATATCAAGTTGACTCAATCGTCTTTATGTTGATCCTTCCAAGCCACTTGAATTATCTCTTTACCTATTTTTAATTTGTTTTTTTCTCTATCACGACTTTTTTCCTTTCTTTATTATTGATTTATTATTGAATTGATAGGAATTTTCTAGTTAAGACTCTATGAATCAATTAAAACCTTAGATTCATATTAGAATCACGATGATTCAATAAAAAAATCATAAGCAAAGCCAAAAATTCCTTGAGTAACAACAATTGGATCATCACGTGAAATTGTCCAACATCTAGTGCAATGGTCAGTCAACTATATAAATAGACAGATTCTTTAATATCATTTAACGGCATGGGCCACATTGTTGCATTTTGTAGTACATAGGTATATATAGAACAGTGATGATAGTAAGTGAGTCTAATTTGTATTTAACCCTTATTTTTACGCTAAACTTTCTAAATGTCATATTAGGTGTGTGTATTTTTTTATGCACATAACCAATAAAGACATACTCAGTGTATTTCACATCATCTAACATGACATAAGCCATAATAACTAAATAATCGAACAATAATTTTGCAAATTGTTTTATACTTAAAATTCGACCCAAATTCCGGAATTCAATTGTATTTCATGCGTCTCATAACATATGTTATTTTGGTTGTTGCACAAGTATTAAAAATTATAGCGACAAAACTTATAAAATCACTAAAATACATTTGTCATTAATTGCTTCTCAAATATGCAAAATTATCTAGTTTTATTCAACACACATGCTTAAATAATTTGATCATAGTCCATTTGCAAATATAGCTGCAAAAGCTTCCATTCTATCCTTCGGAAGAGCCAACCCAATCTCCAATCCTCCTTCCGAACCACCCGACTTACACAAGGAAATCGAATACTTCTCCCCATCAATCGACACGACTTCAAGCTTCCTCGCCCTTCCCAATCCGAAATCCGCATCGCACAAATCAAACTTGGGCGAACCGGAAACCCCAACCGCCCTCATCCCTACAAATTTCTCGCTATCGGACATCCAATTCTCGACGCCTTTCAAAACCTCGTCTTTATTATTAACCCTATTTTTAATATCCAAAGCAATCGCCTCCGCAGCAATCACAAACCCTTCGTCACCAACAAGATTTTTATGCTCGATTTTCGCCATTGAGCCACCTAAGCAATTGCCGAAGTAATTCAACGGCATCGGCGGATTCGTCCTCCCTCTAGCATCCACCGTGAAAATGAAGAACTCGAACACGTCATCGTCAACTTCCTCGCCAACCGCATCTCCTGATTTCAACAGGGTTGTCCAAACGTAGGACGCTGTAACAACGAAAGACGACACGTGGCCTAAATCGGGTTTCTTGGCCAAAACGGAATCTTTGAGCTTTTCAATATCGGATTGGCGGAGTGTGTACGTGGCTCTGACCCTGTTCGTGGGAAGTGGAAAAGATGACGACTTAAACGGAATATTCCTCATTGCTTTCCAGAATATTCCGTCGACTCCGAGAGGATCGTGAATCACGGACCTGTCGAAAATCGGGAGGAACTCGCCCTGTTTTTTAAGAAACTCTTCTTCACCGCCGAATTTGGCGATTGAAGCCCACGCCCACATGAACCCTACAATCGACCTCGCATCGCCGAGAGTATGGTGGTTGGAGAAGCCGATACAAATTCCCCGGCCGGGAAATAGCGTCACCTGCAGAGCAAAAACAGGGACGATTTTGTGGCCGTCGGAATCTTCCGTCACCGGCGGGATTTCCGGGACGAAGTCGTAGAACTGATCGGCGTCGCGTGGGTGGTTTCCGACGAGGTCGTCGAAGTTGCCGCCGGAGACGGCGATTTTCATGGAGACGGAGTCGCCGGCGGCGTAGCGGAGGACGGGTTTCTGGTCGTCGGTGTTGATAGGGTAGAGGAGATTTGCTGCTACGGGAAGATAGTGTTTGAGAGTGAGGGAGAGTGATTCTTTGAGGTTTGGAATTAGGGTTTCTGAGAAGTGGGATTCGGAGCAGGAGTACTCGTAGAAGAGAAGACGGCGGATTGGGTGGAAGTGTAGCCAGAGGACGTCGAAGAAGGAGAGGGGGAGTTCTAGCTCGGCGGTGGCGGCGCCCGCCGGAGGTTGAATCCGACAGGTTTCGAGGAGAGTCGTCGCCATTACAACTAGATAAGTGTGGTGTGGATAGTTTTGTGGTGGAGATTTATATAAGAAAGTTTTGCCAGAAAACGACACCGTTTTTGGAAGGGGCAAGTGGAGATGATTTGGGCGGAGTTAGCGGAGAGCCGCCGTGGCTTCCATTGGTGGAAGATTTGATTGTTTTTTTCTCCGATGGAAGTTTGGATTGATTTGTGCAAGATCACCGGCTAAATATTTTATTACCTTTTGTATTTATCTATATTTCAGAAAAGTCCTTAGAAAATTTATTTCTATATTATATGTCGGCTTATATGTATCTTTGGAGTTTTTTCTTTTTTCCAAATTATTTGTTATTTCACAATTTCAATGCAGCATTAATTGTATTTTTATCGATTTTGCACTATATTATTCTTAATTAACTAATTAAAAAATAATTAATGATTATTTTAGTATTCACTATTTTATTTTTGATATAATTGATTCTCTTAATAGACGCACAACCACAAAAAACGACATATAATATAGAACGGAGGGAGTATAGTCCAGAGATGTAAATAAGTTGAGTCAAGTATAGTGTAGATCTGCTAATGATCTGAGTCGGCTCTTGAACCCGATTATCTCGAGTTTTTTGACAATTTCATTGTGGAGTCTACTTTATGAGTCAGCTCATGATTTTTTTTCAATTTTGAATTCTAATTTAAAATATTAATAATATATAATAATATAATAAGTATTTATGTGATACACGGTGATGTAGAAAATTTCATACGTGTAATTCACTATCATAAGTATTTCATGAGTCACCTCATGGGGTCTTTGGTTTGAGTGTTTAGCCGTGATGGGAAGGATATTCTCTCTTAATATACTGTTTGGTCTGCCGGTTGAATCCTTCCATATTATTGGTTTCACAGATTTTGTCAACCTAAAATCGGGGTGATATTTTGTCACCCCATAATTCCACTTGTCTCTGAAATGTTCAATTACAACGGTGCCCTTATGAATTATCTAGGTTACTTCTTTTCTTTTTCTTTTCCCCCTCGAACATGGCGGCTCTAATCTTAAAATTGTTAGAGACCCAAAATTTCTAATTCTAACAAAATTGGTTAGTGTTTTTTTTTTTTTTTTTCTTATCTCCATTCCTCGTATTTTTGTCTCACCTTTTTACCAATGTTATCAGAACCGGACCGGACATAAAACCGGATAGATTTTCGGGTCACGGTTGGACCGGTTCGACCCGGGTTTTTAATTTTTTAATTTTTTAATTTTTTTAATTTTTTTATTAATTTTAAACTCTACAAATACAATATTCCCATATATATTTTATATATTTTACATGTCTTTTCCATTTTAATATCATATATCTCACTTCATTTTGTTTTATTAATATTTTTATTAATATTTTTTTGTTAACATTTTTTGTATCTCTCACTTGACATGTCTCTTTCTCTCTCTTTCCACTTTGTTTTTCCTTTCTCCTCCACGCAGCAGCCCCCCTCTCTCTCTCCTCTTCCTTTCTCACTCCTCTGTAAATCCAAAAACTTTCATTCTCTTCTTTTCTCTTAATTTTCTCTCCTTTATTTCTCCATTTCGGCCTCCGACCACTGAATTCAGCCCACCACCGCCCAGGTTCGCCCACGTAATATAGTCTTTACAACCGAGATTCGTCCACCTCCAGCCTCCGACTACCGGATTCAACCCACCGCCGCCCACATAACAGCCTTTACGGCCAAGATCCGTCCACCATATACTTTTTTTGACAAAAACCGGGGTCATTAACCGGTTCGCCGGTTTCCGGGTTTTACCCGGTTGAACCGGGTTTTGTTCATTTTGACCCCGATTTTTAATTTCTCCGATTTTGGAGTTCGAACCGGACCGCCTAATTGCTGGGTCCCGGTCGAACTGGTCCGACCGGCCGGTCCGGTCCGGTTCCGACAACATTGCTTTTTACCCTTTTCTCTTTTGCCGATTATATCTTGCTTATGTTCCCTTTTTTTTCTTTTTTGAAATAAATGAGTTAATAAATGTGTCGATTAAGGAGAATTTTTTTTTTGGGGGGGTAAATAAAATTCTTTTAGCAGTTTAAAATTGGAAATAATCAAATAAATGAATTTATTTTCAGTCTCTGAATATAATAATATAAATTCAACTTTTGAATAGTAAATCCCTATAAATTTACTTCCATATCAATTGAGGAATGAATCAGCCAGATTGTTATAAAATTTTGTTTTTCATTTTTTTTTTTATGTTGAAATGCTACGGCATAACTCTGTAAGACAAAAAAAAAACGAAAAAAAAAAAGAAAGACAAACTGAAACATATTTTTTATGTTTTCCAGAGTAGTTTATATTGTTTTATTATTAAATTAGTTGATCCACGTGATATTATATATTTTATGGGCATCTTTGGTTGGGGGTATTACAAGGGATGGGATGGGATATACCAATTTGTACAATGTTTGGTTTGGTTGATTTTACCATCCTTGACAACTGAGCCCACCAATTTAATCCATCAATCGAATTATTGTTAGTCAAGCCAAAATTGGCTTGACTAGTTATCACATACTCAATCCCATATTGTGACCCATGTGAAATATCGAAAATATCCTTCCAAAATACCATAATTACGAAATTAATAATATATACACTAAATCTTCATCTTCCTCTTTCAAATCTCGATCTCCTGCAGGTTAGTATATGTAATAGCATCTCCTAGTATCCCCTTCGTCAGCATATTTACGAACACCCTTCGAGCACAGTCAATTCTTTCGTTTTTACACAGCCTCCGATTTATCGCCCGATATACCGTGACATCAGCACAGAGACCCTTTTGCACCAACTCGTCCCGCAATTTCAAGACAGCATCGTCATCGTTTAAAAAATCCACAAGCCATGAATATACGCAGTATCTCGGAGAAAATCCAGAGCCAATCATATCGAATAAAATCTCTTTCGCACTAATTACATCCCTCGACTTGCAAAATCCATGAATCAACGCCTTGTGAGTGAATTTGTCGGGTTTTAATCCAGCCTCCAACATCTTGTTCTTCATTTTCGAAGCGGATTTCATATCTCCGATATTGCACTACGCGTTGATTAACGTATTGCACGTGACATTATCGGCTTCGATTTTTCTTCAACTCATTTCATTCATCAGTTTATTCGCATCTTGTATCTGCTTCTCTTTGCATAATTTCCGTAAAATTGCATTGTAAGTCACCCCCCATCCCAACGTACAACCCTTTCACCTCCATTATACCACGAAGCTCTAAAGCTTCTTTTATATCACCAACTCTGCAATACCCGCGAGCAAAGTAGTATACGTCACATTGTTCGGAGAAAAACGTGTAATAATATCGTTAAAAAGCCTCAAAGCCTCTCTCATTCTGCCTTCTCTACAATAACTATAAACGAGCGAATTATAAGTTATAATATCGGGACATACTCCTCCTCGTTCCATCCTATCTTAAACGGGTAAATCCTCGTAATGCATACCATTTTTGGCAGTACTGCGAAATCAATGTGTTGTACGTGAAAATATCCGGGTGTACGTTTTTCGACCCCATTTCACCGACACCAATTCATCAGCCTTCTCTACATCCCCCGACTTGGAACAAGCGTGCATCAAGACATTGTAGACATGTAAATTCGGAACAATCCCAACTCTCGTCATCTTTTTGTAGACTTTTCACACAGTTTCGGCCAGCCTCTCTTTGACCAATGAATGAAGAAGCATGGTACAGGCGTGCAAATGGGTCTTATATGAACCAGTGTTCTAAATATCGGTCGTGGCGGCCGATATATCGGCCGCCATATCGGTATCGGTTATAAACCTTTACGATTTTGTTGAGGCGGTTTGGAATATCGGTTTTTTACGGCGAGGCGGTTTGCGGCGGTTTTTTGGCGGGTCAAACCGATATATCGGTCAACAAATCGGTTTTTTTTTTTTTTTTTTTTTTTTTTTTTTTTTTTTTTAATTTAAATTAAAATAAAAATATGTTTTGATTTTTTGTTTTTCTCCAATTTTTTCAACTTCCAAAACCAAACCAAGTACTACCCCGCAATTTATGCTTTGTTGTGTTTATATTAATTGTTGATGCGAAAGACTTGCGTGGTATTTGTATTTCGTAAGAATCTTTTATTATATTATGATCTTATTATTTTTAAATTTTTGTTATTTATTGAGTAATTAGAATTATATAATAACATATGAATGATAGGATAGAATTATGTTTAAATATTTTTTTATATATATTTTGAGTATTTACAAATATTTTTTTAGAAATATATTACACTAAATTTAAAAACCGATATATTTCCGATTTATCTCCGATAAATCACCGCCGCGCCGATTTATCGTGTGGCGGTCCCAAACCGCCACGTACCCGATAACCGCCTTTTAGAACCTTGATATGAACACAGGCGCATATGATCAAACACTTGGAGTGCATCTGGATTCTTCTTCAATTGACGTACAATATCACCAGCCAGCTCAGAACATACGAATTCACACCCGAGTCACCGTCGCTGTTAACGAGGGCGTTCAATACAGTTGGAGACGATAAGAAATCTCTCTGCGCGATCTTTTTGAGCAGATTTTGAGCAGTTTTGAGGTGCCTCTGTTTTGTGAAGATGCATATCATCAACCAATAAAATTGCAACGAATGCTTGTACTGTGGAATCGTGTCAACCCATTTGAAGAATGACCATGAAATTGAAAACGAGTATGGAGAAAGATCCAACAATACTTGGTTCGTGACAATAAGGAGAGAATCAATTAATTAAAAAAATAAGAGGGAGAAGTCCTGGTAATAACGAGAGAGAATCAATTAATTAAAAAAAGAATTATAAGGGCAAACCAGTAATTTACCTAAAAAATCCATATAAAACAGTGTTATCATCCAAACAAAACATGATATTGTTAATGCATTTATTATTAGTTTCTTCCCCATAACTCCAACCAAATAATGGATTACTCACTGTGAATCAACAATTTAGTCCCAGTATACCATATCCCATCCTCAGCTATCATTCCAAACCACCCAACCAAAAGATGCCTATGTTTATTATCACAAACTAAAAGAAAACACAAAATAAAAAAAAAAATGCAAGATACAAAGATAGCAGTAATTAAATGAAGAATAATGGAAGGGGTATTTTTGACAATTCGAGCATAATCCCCACATATCATTTAAACAAAACATGAGATATGATTGATACATAATCTTATTAATCCCAATATTAATAACTATATTCCAACCTATATATATTTAAAATAAAGCCAATGGGAAGTAGGAACTATGATAAAACTTGCTAAAATTAAAAATATTTGTGCGTTTGCAAATTAGAGTAATTAT